GGAATTTGTTCAGTATCTCAATGTCAAGCATATGTAGACATACGTGACAAATACAGTCTAAACACTCGCGCTGTAGTCCCAGAGCTTCAAACGCTCTTTCGTTGGATCTGTTGTCGGCAGCGATCGGCGAAGAGACGGGTCCTGTCGTGGCTTCGTATCGATTGGAAGAGTCATCCCTGGGAAACACTACCCGAGCATCTCTTGTGTAATAATTGGGCGCATCTCTAGTCACAGGATTACCGGCTCTCAACTCAATAGGTTTTGCGTTATGATTCGGGTACTCGAGGAATACGTTTGCGTTCGGCTGAGACTGTGGGACACTTCGGCCGGTTATTGAATCCCTTTTAGGGTTGGGCTCGAGTCCTGTGTCACAAAATAAAACAATTTTATTCATTTGCAAAACTTTTATAGTCATTAGAAATCAAATACTTCGCGCCTCAATCGCCGGACTTTGACAGGACTGGTATGACGTCCAGTAATCGGTGCCTCGAAGTGACTCCGAATTGCATGAATGCGGCCCTAAATATAGCGAACAATCGATTTTTTAAATGCATTTATTAGAAGTTAAAAACGAGAAAATTGTATAATCTTTTCACTGCATTTGTATCTCAAAGTCAAACCTAATTTATGAATCGCCGCAAAGTCGGCACAATCGACGACACCGTCTCCATCGCAATCTCTCTGCCATTTATTCATATATCCCTGAACTGTGCGCTCAGCACATGCCTTATCATTAGCACAGGTCGCGTAATCACCCCCGGGTTGACCGCCGTCCGACCAATAGGCCCAACTGATTAGGTATGGCCCGCAATACGAACCTATAAACCGCACAAACAATTCAATACAATAGTTACATACAATTAGTTCAGTTAAATTGGCGCACGTTTTGTGTGCTAAAAGCAAAACTATTTTTTGAAACTTATTTATTTTGAGTAAAAAACTTATTTATTTTACAAACCTTCGCACTGTTTGTTAAGATCGCAATCACTGCTCGCCTGAGAAAACAAAATAAAGTTTTTTAAACATTTTACTGAATTTTTTTGTAATGCCTTTTGTTCATTGAGTCCCGGGTTAGCAGTACTGGAAAATATCTCTTATGTTTTACTTTGAAAAAGTCATTATATTTTATATATATTGTATCCGCAAAGTCTTCCTCTAAAGAATATAAGCATATATTATATCACTTATTATAAAGTTATGAAAGAAAGCAATTAAATGATATTTTTTTGTGCAATATTTTTAATTGGAGTTCTAGTTATCAATATTTCCTTATTTGATACAAAAATATTGTTTGACTTATTATTGGCATCAAAATAATAGGGAAAAGAAAGGCATCGTTTCCTTACCTGACAAATACAATCCAAACAATTGTCACCAACGGATGCATTGTTTGGCACTTCTATCAGAGACGGCGACGGCTTATGAACGCAAATAAAAGTTTATATTTAGTATTGAGATCGCAATTCATTAAATACCGGTGGTTTTGGTTGATTGGACGGAACTCCTGGGCTATTATGGGTGTCATAAGGATTTCCAGCGCTGGGTTGAGGGCCCGTTGGTGTGGACCAACTGATGGGTTGTGTGGGAGCCCTTCCGGGAACACGGGGTGGCGATTGGCCGTTGAATATATTCCAGGGATCAGTCGGTTGTGATTGTGGTTTAGGCGAAGGTTGAGCCACTTCTCGATCGACAGCTCGCGATACTTCATCCCACGGATCTTCGGTCACGGGTTGGGACGGGTTATTATAGGGATCATTAGGATAGGGATCGGGATTTGGTTGGGCCGGTGGCTGAGGTTGATTCCATGGGTCGGGTTGTGGTTCGTTGTAATTGTCATTGTTTATGGGTTGCGGTGGGATTGGATCCCACGAATCATCGGGTTTGGGTTGGGGTTGAGGTGTGTCGACAACACTGGGATATGGTTGGGGTCTTAGCACAGGTCGAGGTGCGGGTGGTTTTGGTTGCGATTGCGGCCGATTCCAGGGTTCGTCGGGCTGTGGCTGAGGGTTAGTTGGATTTCCCGGAAACACTTGTATGACTCCATCATCAGAGGTCGGCTGCGGTTTATTCCAGGGGTCGTTGGGAGGGGAGGGCGGAGGTGGCGGTTGGTTGTAGGGGTCATTAGGGTATGGCTGAGGCTGTGGTTGAGATTGAGGTCGATTCCACGAAGAGTCGGGCAAATAGGGCTGCGGTTGTAGTTTAGGTGTTTGCGGTTGAGAGGATGGCTGCCATGGCTTATCGTCGAGGGCTGGCTGTGATGGCTGTGATGGGGACGCGTCTATTGAATGAAATTTTAAGAAAAATATTTTCACAATTAATTGATATTTCAATTCTCAATGCTATTTCTCGACATGAGATGATGGGAAGCAATACCACCGGAGCTGAGCTGACACTGACGGAAGACATTCCAGTACTGACTGTTGTAAAGCCATTGTTGATTGCAAGAACTCGCGCCGGCCTTTCAAACAGATTATCAATTAATGCTTTTGACATATATTTGAACAAAAAATGTTAAATCATAAAAGAAAACAACAAAATTGAAAACTTTTTTTTTT